GTTACTGCGTTCGCCTTTGTTGAACAAGTAAAAATTAAATGAAGCACATTTTGTGTAAATAATGTGTATCTAACAGCCTTGAATATTGTGTGATTTTTATATTATTTTTTTGTTATACAGATACTTAAATTGTTTAGATTTATTGTGCTCCAATTTCTCTTTAATTTGATATTTTTTGTTATACAGATACTTAAATTGTTTAGATTTATGTGCTCCAATTTCTCTTTAATTTGATATTTTTTGTTATACAGATACTTAAATTGTTTAGATTTATTGTGCTCCAATTTCTCTTTAATTTGATATTTTTTGTTATACAGATACTTAAATTGTTTAGATTTATTGTGCTCCAATTTCTCTTTAATTTGATATTTTTTGTTATACAGATACTTAAATTGTTTTAGATTTATTGTGCTCCAATTTTCTTTAATTTGATATTTTTTGTTATACAGATACTTAAATTGTTTAGATTTATTGTGCTCCAATTTCTCTTTAATTGATATTATTTTTTGTATACAGATACTTAAATTGTTTAGATTTATTGTGCTCCAATTTTCTCTTTAATTTGATATTTTTTGTTATACAGATACTTAAATGTTTTAGATTTATTGTGCTCCAATTTCTCTTTAATTTGATATTTTTTGTTATACAGATACTTAAATTGTTTAGATTTATTGTGCTCCAATTTCTCTTAATTTGATATTTTTTGTTATACAGATACTAAATTGTTTAGATTTATTGTGCTCCAATTTCTCTTTAATTTGATATTTTTTTGTTATACAGATACTTAAATTGTTTAGATTTATTGTGCTCCAATTTCTCTTTAATTTGATATTTTTTGTTATACAGATACTTAAATTGTTTAGATTTATTGTGCTCCAATTTCTCTTTAATTTGATATTTTTTGTTATACAGATACTTAAATTGTTTAGATTTATTGTGCTCCAATTTCTCTTTAATTTGATATTTTTTGTTATACAGATACTTAAATTGTTTAGATTTATTGTGCTCCAATTTCTCTTTAATTTGATATTTTTTGTTATACAGATACTTAAATTGTTTAGATTTATTGTGCTCCAATTTCTCTTTAATTTGATATTTTTTGTTATACAGATACTTAAATTGTTTAGATTTATTGTGCTCCAATTTCTCTTTAATTTGATATATTATATGTCTATGTACAGCCAATACTTTTTCTTTAGGAAGGTTTTTGCTTTGCCATTGTAAAATAAATCCCGCTCAAAATTAATACTGTCCAAACCCCAGAAAAAATGTCTTCTTGAAAGAGTTAACAAGTGTGCCATAAATTATGGGTATTTCCTTTAAAGTCTGAGTACATTTTCTTAGGGGTGAGTAACCAACAGTCTGCACACAAATAAGCCAGCTCTGTAAAATCAATGTGCACACAAAAGTCAAGCCCTGGAACAAAACCTAAATTTGGACATGGATGAACAACTAAAACTTTATACTAGAGTTTACAGCAGGTGAACATTAAGAAGAAGAAGATAGTGTGAACTAGTTGTGTAAAATCTTCAGCATTTCTGATTCTAAAAAGGTGAAAACGTCAGTGAAATGTCTGCACAACCGTTGGCTTTAACAGTTATAAGACAAAGAAGATGGCGGTATATTGGGCACTTTCTGAGGAGAATTCTTTTTCTTCTGCCTTTCTATCCCCCAATGGAGCATAGGCCCTCAACCAACTCACGCCAAGTCGTTCTATCCTTCGCCATTACATGGAGCTCGCCCCATGTCCTCCCAATCTTTCTAACCTCATTCTCCAGCTCTCTTCTCCATGTGTTTTTTGGCCTTCCTTTATTCCTATGCCCCTGTGGGTTCCAATGCAAAGACATTCTAGTTATGCTGTTCTCCCGCCCTATCCAACGCCAGCATCTTTTCCTCACCTCCTGATCCACTGGAGCCTGTTTAGTTCTCTCCCAAAGTTCTACATTAGTTATTCTATCATACCATTTTATTCCCTCTATTCTGGCAGGCACCAGTTAATGAATGTCTGTAATTTATTAGTAATTGCCTTGGTTGTTCTCCATGTTTCCGCTCCATACAATAGTACTGATTTGACATTAGAATTAAAAATTTTTAGTTTAGTATTTCTTTTAATTTCTTTTGACCTCCACAAATTCCCTAGTGCTATGAAAGCCCCTCTTGCCTTTTGTATTCTTATTTTAATATCTCTATCAGTTCCTCCATCTTTATCTACATTACTGCCTAAATAGGTGTACGACTCAACGTTTTGGAGTGGGGTGCCATTAAGAGAAACCACATTACTATTTGCCTGATTTATTCTCATTATCTTTGTCTTTCCTTTATGGATTTTCAGACCAAGCTGCTGTGATCTCGCATTAAGTATATTTAATTTATCTTGCAGCTGATTCCGTGAATGGGACAGAAGAGCAATATCATCAGCGAAGTCCAGATCATCAAGCTGTTTTGTAGGGGTCCACTGAATTCCATTCTTGGTGTTAGCAGTTACTGTTTTCATAGTCCAGTCTATCTTCTTCTTCTTCTTTTTCACTTCCTCTTTTACCGCTGTGGGTGTCGAGGAAGATATAAGGTACTGTTTCTAGCTCTTCTGGCTGCCTCGACCATAGGCACATCGTGCTGTTGTAGAGTTTCTCTGGTGTTATCCTTCCATCTTGTTCTTGGTCTACCCCCTGCTCTACGTCCTTCTTCTCTTTCCATGTATGCTTTGTATGGTATGGTGTCACAAGTCATTCTCTCTAAGTGGGCAAACCATTTCACTTGCTGTCTTTGTATGTAATCCAGAATTGGTTCTGTGCCGACTTGTTCTCTTATGATCTCATTCCTGATCTTATCTCTTATGGTCACTCCTACAGCCCTTCTCAGACATCTCATTTCCGTGGTTACTAATTTTCTTTTATGGTTTGTTGTGAGTGACTATGTTTGGCACTGGTAGCACAGAGTTGGAATAAATATGCTTTGAATAAGATGTCTCTTTGTGCTGATTGGGATTGTCTTATGCTGTAAGAGGGGGGCTAGCTGTCCCAATACTTGGTTTGCTTTACTGCATCTAATGTCAATTTCTTTATCCAATTTCCCATCTTCCGTAAATGTAGTTCCCAGATATTTAAACTCAGATGCCTGTTTAATTCCTTTGTATTCTATTGCTATGTTTAGATCTGTCTTCTTTTTTCCTATTGACATTACTTCTGTCTTTTCAGTGTTGATTCTAATATTATTTGTTTTACATTCTTCATTCATGGATGTTAGATGTTGTTGCAATTTCATGGCTGTATCTGCTATCAAGGCCTGGTCATCTGCAAAGAGTAATTCGTTGATCTTACTAAGATCTTCATTCATGGGCTTGGCATTCTTGCATATACTGTCGATGTAGGTGATAAACAGCAGTGGTGATAAGACACACCCCTGTCTTTATCCAGATGTCACTGTGAAAGGATGAGATGTTCCCTGATTTATTCTAACTACACTTCTACAATCCCTGTATAAACTTTTGCACACTTCGATGAGGTGTTCGCTTACTCCATATCTTGCCATTATTTTCCATAATAATTGTCTGTGGACTCTTTCAAATGCCTTCTCCTGGTCTACGAATGCCACAAATAAGTTCTTATTGTATTCAATGTTCTTTTCTATTAACTGTTTAAGTGTGAAGATTGCATCTGTGCAGCTTCTATTTCTGCCAACATGGCTTAAAAGAGAGATGCCTCGATATTGACCTCATTCTCGTTTGCTTTCTTTGTTCTTCCACAATGGTATAACTATTGTATGTTGCCAATCAATAGGGGCCGTTTGTTGTACCCATGCTGCATTGAATATTCTGTGAAGCCATAGTCCAGTCTATAGCCAGTAAAAATAAGAGGCGACAAAAGACATCCCTGTCGCACACCTGTTTTTATTTCAAATGCATCTGTTAGCTTTCCCTCATGAAGAACTCGACATTTCATGTCTTTATATGTTGCCTTTACTAAGTTGATAATTTTCTGTGGGATTCCATAGTGCCCCATCAATTTCCAGAGAGATTCCCTATCAATGCTGTCAAACAAATGCTTTTTCATAGTCTATAAATCCAATGTAAAGTGGTGAGTTCAGTTCATTGCTTTGCTCTATTATAATACATAATGTGGCTATCTGGTCAGTACAGGATCTGTTTGACCAAAAACCTGCCTGCTCATCTCTTAGCATTTTATCAATAGCATCTTTTAATCTTTCCAAAATAATTCTACTAAATATTTTTCCAGGAACTGACAGCAACATAATTCCTCTATAGTTTTCACACTCCTGTAGATCAGTACTTTGAAGTAAACAATCACTTGATTAGTCACCTTGTATGGCATGCTGGGGGGAGGGGGGGTGGATCAAACTACTGCCCACCCCCTTCCAATGGGGCCGTGGAACCCACATGGTTCTAATGATTTCTGATAAAAGTAGTTTGCTTGACAGGTTTGATATTGTATTTCCAGATTCCAAAGGCCAGCAGCCTAACCACTTGTCAAGTTGCTGTTGGGTAGAGCCAGCTAGGGATGATAAAGTGAAGCTCATTTAAATCAATCATCATTATCCAGATCACAGAAGGCTCTTGTGGTGACAGACAGACAGATGGTTTAGTAGCCTCTCATGGGAGTGAACAGTTCCAGAGGCAATGATAGAATGAGTGGCAGAGGACAAGAGTCAGACGGTTCACAACCACGCAGAGCATTGAGTTCTTTATCTGGAGGAAGTATAGATGACGAGGATCCAGATCTACCCTCCATTGTGGCATACCTCATTCAAAGGTATGTGTGTGATCTAGTTTTATGTTCTCATTGAGATCTTTGCCTTAGGCTTGGTGGAGGTATTTGTGAGAAGTTACAGTGTTAAGACTTGAATCCTGGCACAGTGCCTAAGTAACATATTTGAAGGCTGTGCTGCAAACTCTTATTTCCTTATCCAAGACTATATTCTTTTAATGCGGCCGCAGCTTCTTGTTTTTCTGATTTTCCTTTCCGGTAGCCACACCTTTACATATGTAGCAATGAGTTCAGGCATTAATAAAAGTGTCAGCACCTGGCAAGGCTCAGAAGTCACATGATGTTGTCCCTGGACAGGCGAAACATTTGACACGAGCTGGTTAACGGGACGGGAAAAATTTGACACGAGCTGGTTCCCTGGACAGGGGAAACATTTGACATAAGCTGGTTAACCGGACAGGGGAAACATTTGACATAAGCTGGTTGCCCGGGCAGGGGAAACATTTGACACGAGCTGGTTCCCCCAGACAGGGGAAACATTTGACATGAGCTGGTTCCCTGGACAGGGGAAACATTTGACACGAACTGGTTGCCCAGGCAGGGGAAACATTTGACACGAGCTGGTTCCCCGGACAGGGGAAACATTTGACACGAGCTGGTTCCTCGGACAGGGGAAACAATTGACACGAGCTGGTTCCCCAGACAGAGGAAACAATTGACACGAGCTGGTTCCCCAGACAGGGGAAACACTTGACACGAGCTGGTTCCCCAGACAGGGGAAACATTTGACACAAGCTGGTTTACCGGACAGGGGAAACAGTTGACACGAGGAGAAAAAACACATCATGGAGTATCATGTGCTAGAAGTTGTCATCAGTTTGATCTCAGAGTTCAAGCATGTGTAACCAAGTGTGATGGCTGTCACAGGCAAGGAAAACTCAGGAGAATCATTATATAATGTATATATTTATAAGCAGACAGCCAGTTTTTGACCTAGTATTTGGACAACATTGGTACACATGTGTTCATTGATTACATAACAGCAGACACCAGGTGTTGGGGCATGTCTCTAACACAGCATTGCTTTCTCCTGTATGTACTGTGTCTGTTACACTCTAATCTGTGTTGTTACACATGTGTCAGCTCTAAACTGTGTCTGTTACATGACTTTGCATTTCAGTAACATACAGACCTGCAGTCTGCCTCCAAGAGAAAATACCTTAGTTGTTATTTTCATTTGTCAAATGTTTCATCTTCACAGCTTGTCTGCAGCTTATCTTCTGTCCCAGCCAGGTGGGTTGTTAACCCAAATCTCTCTCAATAATACTTTCACCTCTACTCCAGTCAGTTAACCCATCTCTGTCTACAAAATACTGTCTCTGTCAACCTCATTCACTCCTGACATTAGCCCATTTCTCTCAGTATACTAATGTCATTATTTCTGTCTCCATGTTGTTGTTATGTTGTTGTTATCGATCCAGCGGCGCATGAGCTTTCGCTCTTTGGCCCAATGCCATGTAGTATTTCTGTCTCCATACCTGAAGACAGTCCGTCTCACTTGTTGTAACTCTCTCTTCAGTGCTAGCTATTGTGTTAACACTTCAGGCTGTTTTTGAATTCTGTCTTTCTTCTCCTGTATCTTTCTGTCACTTCATCTTTTTCGAATCCTCTCCCCACCCTCTCCTCCTTCTCATCCTTACTCTGTATCCCTCTTTATCTGTCTCCCTCTCTCTCTCTCCCTCTTTTCTCCTCGTCCACTCTTATCCACAAATCTCTCTCTTTCTCTTTCATTATCTTTATCCCTGTCTTCCATCTCACTCCCAGCTTTTTTTTTTGGGTCTTATCTCTTTCCGTCTCATTCTTTTGTTTTTAAATCTCCCTATCTTTTATTTGCCGTCTGTGACTTTCTAGACGAATGTCTGACTGCAGCAGTTATGACTGAAAATTACAACATAGGGCTGAATGAAGGGAAGTCACAGTGGGCTTTGTTGTGTGAAGTTCATCTGTACTTTGTCTGTCCAGTGAGAGATGGTTCTATAGAGCATGTATTTGTTTCTCAGCAGTGGTCAGATCCGTTTTATCAGCCAGTCTGATAGTGACTCTGGCAGCACTAGCCCAGAAGAGGACATAGCCGCCCCGCCTGCCAGACCACCCATAAGTATAGTCTCATTACTGCCTACGTTAGCCATAGTTTTTAATACATATTTTGTATGTTGTGCATATTTAACGAGGAATGGCTGACCTTATGGTTTAAAACTAATGTCTATACAGAATGTGATTGTGATTGTCTATACAGAATGTGATTGTCTATACAGATGGCTCCGTGTTGAGAGGCAGACGAAATGCAGTGGGGGGTTCCTAGCAAAAGTGAATCGACGCCGCTTAGTGCAACAAAGCCTGGCATATAATACCACAGCGTCTGGTTTGAGAATGCAGGTGGAGGCAGTCACTGCGGCCTTGCACTGTACAGGCATGTCGCAATTGTAATTGACTCACAGAGTATGTTGAGAAAGGTGGAAACAGGCATGCTGTGTGCCAAGTGGCAAACATCACTTCAGAAGTCCCGGGTATTTAGCATCCTTTAGATATTTTCTCCAGGTCATGCTGGTGTGTTGGGAAATGAGCGGGCAGATAGACTGACTGATTTTGCACCACTTGGTGGTGTATTGATGTATGACAAGCTAGATGTTGTCAGGGCCATTTGGAAGCGAGTGAACAGTGTGGAGGTTCAAATAAATCAATATGGTTTGAGGAGAAAGACGTTGCAGAGACTTACCAGGGGATCTGGTCGACGCTTAAACGGATGTACAATCAGGCACTAGTACCATTGGAATGGTAACTCTTTGCTTGTTGCTGAAGATGGGGACAGAGTGCTTATGGAAGTTTCCTAAGTGCTGTGGTGGATTCCTAATTAAACATTCTTCACTGCACACCTTTAAGTTTTTAGCCAATTATACAGCCCTATGTGCTTTCATAGATAATGCATTTTCAGTGTCTTATATCCACCTTAAAGGAAGCCAACCTCTGCATCTTTTTCCAGAAACTGCATCCCCCGTCACTGTTTTCTTACATCAAAATACAATACCACACGTACAAAACAGAATCACACAAAATTACTGAAGTGAAGTATCTTTGAGAGAAATTACATTTCTTTTTGTCCAGTTGAATGTCTGACACATGCGTGACCACCAGAAATACCAGCCAGAAAAAGCTGTATACGGCAAAGGCTGTAATAACGTATTATGTAAAACTGTTGGATGTTGAGTTCCATTTTGCGAATTAGAGCCCATTATATTAGATAAGGTTTTTTTTTTTTTTAGACTCTTACTGTAAGCATTCGATTATACTGATATGTTGTTTTCCTGGTTTCTGTTGTTCTAATGTTATATTAATCGCTGTAGATGTAGACTAAACAATGCTGCCTGTACACAAGCCTAGAAAAACTGCAACAGCCTAAAATGCTGTGGTTGGTTCTGCAACGTCATGTAAAGGATATGCAACTAACTTTTATTTGTAGGATTGTCAGAAATGATGTTTAAAATATGTAAAATGAAATCAGATTGTCTGCCACACTGTTTCCTGACTAAAGTCTGATTGTCTGCCACACTGTTTCCTGACTAAAGTCTGATTGTCTGCCACACTGTTTCCTTACTAAGGTCTAATTGTCTGCCACACTTTTTCCTGACTAAAGTCTGATTGTCTGCCACACTGTTTAATGACTAAAGTCTGATTGTCTGCCACACTGATTGCTGACTAAAGTCTGATTGTCTGCCACACCTTTTCCTGACTTAAGTCTGATTTTCTGCCTCACTGTTTCCTGACTAAAGTCTGATTGTCTGCCACTCTTTTTCCTGACTTAATTCTGATTGTCTGCCACACTGTTTCCTGACTAAAGTCTGATTGTCTGCCACACTGTGTCCTGACTAAAGTCTGATTGTCTGCCACACTGTTTCCTGACTAAAGTCTGATTGTCTGCCACACTGTTTGCTGACTAAAGTCTGATTGTCTGCCACACTGTTTCCTGACTAAAGTCTGATTGTCTGCCACACTGTTTCCTGACTAAAGTTTGATTGTCTGCCACACTGTGTCCTGACTAAAGTCTGATTGTCTGCCACACTGTTTCCTGACTAAAGTCTGATTGTCTGCCACACTGATTGCTGACTAAATTCTGATTGTCTGCCACACTGATTGCTGACTAAAGTCTGATTGTCTGCCACACTGTTTCCTGACTAAAGTCTGATTGTCTGCCACACTGTTTCCTTACTAAGGTCTAATTGTCTGCCACACTTTTTCCTGACTAAAGTCTGATTGTCTGCTACACTGTTTAATGACTTAAGTCTGTTTGTCTGCCACACTGTTTCCTGACTAAAGTCTGATTGTCTGCCACACTGTTTGCTGACTAAAGTCTGATTGTCTGCCACACTGTTTCCTGACTAAAGTCTGATTGTCTGCCACACTGTTTCCTGACTAAAGTCTGATTGTCTGCCACACTGTGTCCTGACTAAAGTCTGATTGTCTGCCACACTGTTTCCTGACTAAAGTCTGATTGTCTGCCACACTGATTGCTGACTAAAGTCTGATTGTCTGACACACTGTTTAATGACTAAAGTCTGATTGTCTGCCACACTGTTCCCTGACTAAAGTCTGATTGTCTGCCACACTTTTTCCTGACTAAAGTCTGATTGTCTGCCACACTGATTGCTGACTAAAGTCTGATTGTCTGCCACACTGTTTGCTGACCAAAGTCTGATTGTCTGCCACACTTTTTCCTGACTAAAGTCTGATTGTCTGCCACACTGTTTCCTGACTAAAGTCTGATTGTCTGCCACACTGTTCCCTGACTAAAGTCTGATTGTCTGCCACACTGTTTAATGACTAAAGTCTGATTGTCTGCCACACCTTTTCCTGACTTAAGTCTGATTGTCTGCCTCACTTTTTCCTGACTTAAGTCTGATTGTCTGCCACACTGTTTCCTGACTACAGTTAGATTGTCTGCCACACTGTATCCTGACTAAAGTCTGATTGTCTGCCACACTGTTTCCTGACTAAAGTCTGATTGTCTGCCACACTGATTGCTGACTAAAGTCTGATTGTCTGCCACACTGATTGCTGACTTAAGTCTGATTGTCTGCCACACCTTTTCCTGACTAAAGTCTGATTGTCTGCCACACTTTTTCCTGACTTAAGTCTGATTGTCTGCCACACTTTTTCCTGACTAAAGTCTGATTGTCTGCCACACTGTTTCCTGACCAAAGTCTGATTGTCTGCCACACTGTTTCCTGACTAAAGTCTAATTGTTTTGTGTTCTTTCAGTGGACAAGACGCCAGATGTTGCTAATATACAGGTGGGTTGTTTTTGGATTCCTGGAGGATGTGTGAGCTGGAAAACTCATAGTCTTTCTGTCTGTCTTTCTGGCCACCTGTGTGTATGTGTGTGTCTGCGTGTCTTTGTGTCTATGTATATGTGTCTGCATGTGTATCTGTGTCAGCGTGTGTCTGCATGTCTGTGTGTGTGTTTTACATTTATGTGCCTGCATGTGTTTTTGTGTGTGTGTGTCTTTGTTGTGTTTGTATGTGCCTGTGTGTGCATGCGTGTGTGACTTGTCTGTGCCTATGTGTGTATGTCCCTGTGTGTGTCTGTGTGTATATGTCTTTGTGCATATCTGTGTGTGTGTCTTCATGTGTGTGTCTTTGGGTGTGTCTGCATGTGTGTCTGTGTATGTGTCTGCGTGCATCTGTGTGTGTGCCTGTGTATGTCTGCATGATTGTGTTTGCATGATTGTGTGTGGGTCAGCATGTGTGGTTATGTGTGTGCGTCGGCATGTGTGCCTGTTGGTTGTGTGTGTGTATCTGCGCCTGTGTGTGTTAGTGCATGCATGTGTGTGTCTGCGCCTATGTGTGTTTGTGCATGCATGTGTGTGTCTGCGGGTTTGTGAGTGTGTGTGTGTGTTTGTGTCTGTGTGTGCGCATGTTTGTTTGTGTGTGTGTGTGTCTGCGGAAGTGTGCATGTGTGTATCTTTATGTATGTAATATGTGTGGAATGTGTGTGTGTGTGTATGTGTGAATGTATGTGGGTGTATAGGTGTTTAAGTGAGTGGGTGGGTGCATGTATGTGGGAATATGTGTGTGTGCATGAGCTAGTGTGTGCATGCATTTTGTCTTCCATACTTTTGTGTTTGTTTTTTCTTGCTATTTGCAACATGTATGTTTTTATATGAATATAACATGCTTTATTGATTCAAAAACATCTGCTGAGATGAGTGTTTGGAAGGGCCAAATGTAAGACGGACCTGCGTGCCCAATTTGTGACCCTTTGAAAAATAAGCTTGTTTGTTCATTCTGTCTGTCTGTCTGTCTGTCTGTCTGTCTGTCTGTCTGTCTGTCTGTCACTCTCTCTCTCTCCTTAAAAGAAAGAAAGATTCAATGCATCTGCCATGTCTCCACAGCATATACTTATATATGCGTAAAGTCCTTTTCTACTGTCCGGCTTCTTGTGTTGTAAACCTTTGTAGAGAGGAGTGTGATGTAGTCTCTTGTCTTTTGTTCATTGTTGTAGCTTATGTTAATGTCATGTTGCGTTTCTGTAGTGTCTCCATTGCTCCCTCCAACCATCTCTTTCTTGAACAGCTTCTTGATTGTAGCTTGCTGTTCTTATGCAGCACACTGTAGCTGCTGGCTGGTTTTGGTTCCATTCTGACCAGGTTTACAAACCATTTGATTCTTTGATGGTCAGTAAAATCATTGACTGATAATGGGCTTAGTATTGCTCTCATGTCTTCATTGGTAGTTACTTTAACAACTCTGTTTCATTTCTAAATTTGTCTGTTTATCAGAACATCTCCTTCCCTTTAGATGCCAAATTATTTGACCTTTAAGAGCGTTGTAAGTTTTTTTTTTTTCTGATCACCTGGGGATCTTTTCCCGTGCTGCAGCTCACCATAAAATGTTCTCTTTAGAAGCTGTTGGTCCTCAGACATAGTGCATCATCCTGCCAGGCAGCAAAGGTTGCACTGGAGGAGAGAGGGAGACTGACCAGAACAAACCATGTGGCATATCCAGCCTGGGAATGTTGCTTCCATCTATTGTCTACACTGCTCGGATTGGGCTCATCATTTATCTTTGTACTCACAGTCATTGATCATAATTAAGTTTGGATGAAAAACAGTAATGACTTGTGATGGACAACAGCAACCACACACATCTTTTAGAAATGATTATATTTGTCAGACATTAGAAATGTCCTACCTCTATACTGTATGAACTAATTTTGATGTTTAAATTCTTCCACAGAAAAATGACATACATTCCATGGTGATGATGTCATCAGGAAGGTTATCAGATCAGAGATGGCTTTCATATTGGAAGCCCACTGTTCCCAACTTGGTGGCCAAGGTTAGTTACCACTGTGTGCTGTTGTATCTTTGACATTTGGGTTGCAGGCCTCACAAAAACTTGCTTCAAGGCAGGGGCTGAATTTAGAAATAATAACCTGGACGCGGGCCACATGGAAAAAATCCGTTATAAAAATAACACCCAGATTTTCACATAAAATGATACATTGCAGACCACTTGAGGCAATCTCAGATGTGGCGAATGTCTGTTGTCATGAACAATTTGTTTATACCTATCAATTTTTCTTGCTCAAATTCTAATCTGGAAAAGAGGTATTTCTGATCAGAAGAACCATTTAGTGGGTCCCTGATGAGTTCTCCTTATGAGATCTGTGCTGATCTGTCTCTTAATATCTGTTGTCCGCAACACGTGTTTCACTAGCATAAAATTTACACCTATTGTAGTAATGGAAAAGTTAGCGAACATCCATCCCTTAGAACAGCAGTTCTCAACCCAGGGGTTGCGACCCTTCTGGGGGTCAAATGACCCAGTCATAGGGGTCGCCAAAGACCATCAGAAATCACATGTTCACTGATGTTGGGAAGTAGCAACAAAAATAGTTTTATGTTTGGGGGTCACCACAACATAAGGAACTGAAGTAAAGGGCATTTTTTTTCCAAATACATTAAAC